ATTGCTGTTTGCCTTGAATCTCATTCAGCCAACGGTGTGAATAGATGGTTCCTGTACAGCTGCTCTGAACTGCTTATTATATCCCAATTCAGAAGCGCTATAATTTCATTAGTGAAAGCTCTACCCCTTCCTCCATTATCATGAAGTTTCTTCAAAAGATATGTTGAGCAAGAAAATCAGTAACATGATCAAGAAAGTTATGTGAAACCATATTGAATCTGGTTCTCTCATTCTCCTTGAATAGGCTTGTTTACTAGCTGTATTGATATGAAACAGCAAATTCTAATTTGGTTTAGCCTGCAAATTTCTTTGTTGGCTAACATGTAAATCTCATGGATTAGTCCCTCAGAGTCTTGGATGTTTATCCAAATTTCTCGGCTTACAGGCCAGATTCAACCCTCTGGTCTCAACTAAGAGTACCTTCCACGAATTGCTTCAATTTTCGCAAGGTAGGTAGAAACTAGGACCAGCAGTTGCTCGACTGAGTTGTTCTGTTTCTATCTTTAATTTGCAGTCTTTCACCTCTGCACAGAAAAGAACACTTCTAAGTGAATGTTTTACTAAGGTTTTAAAAGTTGTGTGAACAAGCTCAGGAGATAATGCAAATAAGCTTGTGTCACTTACCTGTTGAACCAGTGTTGCAGCTTTTATGTGCACGTCAGGCGGAACGAATCTAAGGCGTAAATAAATGTCTTCGATTGCCTTTTCCGTTATAGTCTAGCTATTCCTCAAATCTTCATTGATTTTTAAGAGAATCACCGCATCGTTTTAACTTCAATCCTCTTTCCACTACTAGAAATCCTGGTAAAGAGCGACCCAAAAAAAGCGACCAAAGTTGGTCGCTTATAGCCCAAAAGCGACCAAAAAGCGACCAAACATGCCTGGTCGCTATATATTGCTGGTCCCTTCCCTTTAGGGACCAAAGTTGGTCGCTAATTAGCGACTAACTTTGGTCTCTAAGGTAAAATGACCAAAATATTCCGGGTATTGACTATAGCGACCATCTTTGGGTCGCTTTATTATTTTAATAATATAAATTTGGCGACCAAAGTTGGTCTCTAAATGTAAAATATTATTTATTTATTTATTATTATTCATAAACAGCGACCAACTTTGGTCTCTAATCCAAATATTATATTTTAAAATCTGGAAAATGGAGACCAAGGTTGGTCGCTATTTTATATTAATTTTTTTAATTTTTTTTTAAAAAATAAGCGACCAAAAGTTGGTCGCTAATTTCAAGAATTTAATTTTTTTTTAAATAATAAAGCGACCAAAGTTGGTCGCTATTTTTCCAGAAATTATTTTTTTTAATGGAATAGCGACCAAGGTTGGTCGCTTTTTTAGAAAATCTGGATAAAAAGAGACCAACTTTGGTCGCTTATTTCCCAGAAAAATTTTTTTTAAATGAAAAGCGACCAAAAAGAGATCAAAGATTGGTCGCTTTTCTGGTATTATTTTGGTCAAAAACTGCCGTTTTGACAGCTACAGCACCTGCCAGCATACCAAATCCCTATTACAAGCAACAACAACAACAATACAAACAACAACACAACAACAACAACAACAACAACAACATTAAAACCAACGAAGTATAAAGTTCAATAGAACTAACACATTAAGCTAACAAAACTAAGTTAATGCTTATTACAAGCTCATTCGAAAACTGGTTCTATTGTCTAGTTCAAAGTATATAAAGTACTCAAGGAGTGTTCTTTCAGCATCCTCGTCCGAAAGTTGGATTGCCTCGCCCGACTCATTAGGTGGCTGACTGCGTATGAATTCCTCCACATCAGCTGTGGAAGTTCCATTGCATGTATAATAAAGTCATCAACCCCTTCTACAAAATCCTCCCGCGATCTAAAATTCCAATACATAAACCAAAATTTTAATTCATATCCTAAAGGTTCAACTCATATTCAAAAAATTTTAATTTATAATCTAAAATTTCAATTCATAAACTAAAAAGGTCCAATTCATATCCTAAAGGTTTGAATTCATATCCTTAAAGGTTCAATTCATATCCGAACGAGGTTCCTCCCGCAACCTAAAATCAATTTATTAATCTAAAATTTCACTTATACCTAAAATTTCAAGTCATATCCTAAAATTTCAATTTATAATCTAAAATTCCAATTCATAACTAAAATTCCAATTCATATCCTAAAGGTTCTAGTCATATCCTAAAGGTTCAATTCATATCCTAAAATTTCAAGTCATATCCTAAAATTCCAATTCATAAACTAAAATCTCAATTCATATCCTAAAGTCAAATAAACTTCATAAACCTAAAATTCCAATTCATATCCTAAAGGTTCAAGTCATATCCTAAGGGTTCAATTCATATCTATAATTTCAAGTCATATCCTAAAATTCCAATTCATAAACTAAAATTCCAATTCATATCCTAAAGGTTCTAGTCATATCCTAAAGGTTCAAGTCATATCCTAAAAAGTTCAAAGTCATATCCTAAAATTTCAATTTATATCCTAAAAAAGTTCAAATCATATCCTAAAATTCATTTATAATCTAAAATTCCAAAACATAAACCAAAATTCCAATTCATATCCTAAAGGTTCTAGTCATATCCTAAAGTTCAATTCATATCCTAAAATTTCAAGTCATATCCTAAAATTCCAATTATTAAACTAAATCCCAAATTCATATCCTAAAGGTTCAAATAAATTCATAACTAAAAATTCCAATTCATATCCTAAAGGTTAAGTCATATCCTAAGGTTCAATTCATATCCTCAAAATTTCAAGTCATATTCCTAAAATTCCAGTTCATAAACTAAAATTCCAATTCATATCCTAAAGGTTCTAGTCATATCCTAAAGGTTTCAAGTCATATCCTAAAAAGTTCAAGTCATATCCTAAAATTTCAATTTATATCCTAAAAAGTTCAAATAATATCCTAAAATTTCAATTTATAAATCTAAATTCCAAAACATAAACCAAAATTTCCCAATTCATATCTAAAGGTTCAATTCATATCCACAAAAAGTTCAAGTCATATCCTAAAGGTTCAATTCATATCTACAAGTTCAATTCACAAACCCAAAAAAA